AGACCCAGGGCATTTTCAGCATGATCATATTACTTGGTTTTACTGCCAACATAAATGAAAATGAATATTTCTTAATTTTTAGCATTATACATGTTCCATTTTGGAAACACAGTAAATCCAGAATATTGTGATTCCTGCGAATATACAACACAGCCTATGCATAGATTCTCTAGCGTTTAATATGCTATATTGCCCAGAGAATATGACTTTTCCCCCCTGTGGGGTAAATGCCAATCAAAGGCAGCTGAAGGCAGAACAAGCTACCAAAGAAAGCTCCAGCCGCTCAGCTAAGTCCATTTCTGTAGGCTCCCTGCATCAGGAAGCATGCACTGAGAATGGCCTGAGTTCTTAGCACTCTCAGTAAACATTAGCAAGGACCAGCCTTTGCCCTCCGGCTGTCAAGAAACTATGAAAACCGTTATCATCCTGAGAGAATTAAAGATCCAGTATATGTGAATTGGAGTACTACTGACTTGTGAGTACAACCAAAGGAAGATATAACAATAGCAAATAAACAATAAAATATTGTTTCACAAAGTGCTTTTACATAGAACATTATAATTTCTGCAAGTTACTTGGGGCTTCAATTTCTTGAGAATAATAATATCTTCCCCGTTCCTTACAGGGCTGTTGGGGGAAATTTGATAATATGAAAATATTGTATGCCAGGCACTGTGCCAATAGCTTTATAGGTAAGGAAACCAAAGCCCAGAGTAGTTATAAAATTTACCTAGGGTAAGATCTATACTTAAGTGGTAAAGCTGAGATTATTTTACATTCTTCTATCAGTGTCCAATATCTGACATTGGTCAAATTATGAAGTTCATGACCAAACTCACTGTCTCTTTGCCAACACTTGTCCTGCCTTTGCTACATCCAAGTTGGCAGATAACATTCCCATTCCCTGACCTACAAGCCAGAGATCTGGGAGTCATCATTTCTCCCACTATTTCCCATCCAACCAATCACCAAGGCTTAGGTGCAATCTCTAGATTACACAAGAATGAACTTCAACTCTAAGCCTTGCTGTCAAGGCCCATAACTCTGACCCTCTCATGCCTGGTTCACTATAATCATCACTAACTGGTCTATTTGCCTCTCTCTGTCCCCCTTCCTTACACTCTACCATAGTGATCTTTCCAAAGCACAAATCTGATCCTATTATTCCTCTGCTCACAGCCTCAGGGCTCTCTGTTCCAGCTCCCGTCAGGCCTCCCAGGGCAGCCTTACCACCTCCTGTGGCTCCATTCATACAGCTCAGTCCTCACAGTTCCAGACTATGCGCAGTTCCCTGCTCGTTCCCATTTCCTTCCTTTGTATGCTGTGCGCCCTCTATTTAGAGTGGCAGGCCATCCACATCATCTGGCAAACTTTTGACCATCTTTTAAACTCGGGCTCTTTTTTAGGAAAGAAATCTCTGCTTCCCTATCTCCAAGCTGTGTTAATTATTCTATTCTGTATGCTATTTAAGGCTCCAGACCATATATCTCCTTTGCATTCATCATACTGTAGTGAAATTACTTATTTACATGCCTGCCTCCCCCAATAAACTATGAACTCCTTGAGGGAATGGATTTTTATTTCCTTGCGATTTTACACAGTGTCTGGCACATAATAAGCTCTCTATAAAATGTTTGTTGAATTCCAAGGACTGGGTGGTCATCAGAGCTGAGTGTCTCAGATAAATCAAGGAGGTAGAAAGCAAGGAAAAACAGATGATTCTGGAAAGAGAGGAGTCACTGACAACCTCCCTCCCAAGGACAGAGTCCTAGAGAGGTAGTCATGGGCATGAAACGGGAACAGATCATCAGGATTCTGGAATATAGGCTTGAGACAATGAAAATCTGAATTTTGAAAAATTAAATTATTTGTAAGTGCTGAACTATTCTTTTTATCTATAACTGCCTATTGGGGCTCGTTTTTAACAGACATACATTTTAGTCTATAATCTGGGAGTATAAGTTTCAGAAGCTTATTTGTGAAAAGTATTCATTGCTTTTTAAATTTTTTGAGTCAGAACATTGCAGTTTCAAAGTGGGCCCCTAATTCTAGCGTTTCAAGGTTGATAAACAAAACTCTCCCTTTATCTTCTCTCTCAGTCACTCTCCCTTAATCCCTCCCCTCCCG